TGTCCCCGCATCCCGCTGCGCCGTGTCCCCCCGTGCCCCCCTCACCTCCTGCCTCTCCCCGCTGCAGAAAACTTCAACCCCGAGATGCCCAAGCTGGAGAAGAGCGTCAGCGGCACCAGCCCCAAGCGGGAGCACCTGCCGCTGGCCGTGGCGGCCGCGCTCTTCCTCATGACGCTGCTGGCCTCCTAGCTCGGCCCGCGCCGGCGCCGGCCCCGCGCTCCCTCCCGGCTGCAGCGCCCACCGCGCCCGGGCCGCCTGTACATACCCTATATAGAGATCTATACATACTGTACAGAGAGCGACTATCGATATATCCATACTGTACCATAGGCAGCGGCGCCGGCCCCGGGCCGGCTTGTACATAGTCGGACGTGTTGGATTCTCCTCGTCTTCCGTGAAGACCTGACCTATGCAAACGCACAGACACTTTTTTGGGGAAAAAAATAACAGAAAAACAAACCAATCTTGATCTTTTTGTTTGTTTGTTTGTTTCTTTTACTCTCTCTCTTTTTTTTTTTTTTTTTTTCCAAGTGCTTTGGCTGGTGATTTTCATATTCTGCTCTTAGTCTCTAATGAAAAATAAAAGGATTCGGAAAAAAAAAAACAGAGCGGTTGGGTGCCCTCCCTCCCTGTGCCAACCAACGGAGCCGCCGCCGGGGGCTGAGCGGCACGTAGGGGCAGTGGGGCCTGTGTGTGCACAGGGGCGGCGCACGGCCCAGCTGCGGATGCGGGGCTTGGGATGCGGGATGCGGCGTGGGAATGGGCGCCGGGCGCCGGGCCCCGCTGCGGCGCTGGGCGGTGGCTGCGCCGAGCGGCCCGGCCGGCCCGGGCTTGTCTGGGGCGCGGGAAGAGCCGGCGAACCCGTCGGACGGGTCCGTGCCGCGTCCCGGCAGCCTCCGCGCATGCGGAGCCCCGCGCTGCCGCCGGCCGGGATCCTGCACCGGGGGGTGCCGGCGGTGCTGGAGCGGGATGCGGGATGTGCCCTGCTCATCCCATGCCGGTGCCGCGCGGCGCCCTCGGGCGCTCCCCTGTCATGTGAGTGGGTGCCATGCGGTCGCCCCCCCGTTGCCACAGGCCAAGCCAGCGACCTGCGAGGCCGCACGTCGGCCGCGGCCTTCGCTCCCGCCGCGGAGCGAGCGGTGCCGCTGACGTCAGGATGGCGCCCGGGCCAACAAGCCGTAAACAGCCGGTCACGAGCCCGGCCCCCGCCTGCCGCGCGGCCGCCCGTGTTTGCGGCGCGGCTGCGGCCCAACCTTTGTCCTGCCAGCGGGTGACGGCGGCCAGCACCCACCCCGGCCAGCCGGGACACCCGTACGTGAGCTGGCGCCACGTAGCTTGGCCGTGGCACCGCGCACGGAGGCCTGGTGGTGTTGCACGGCACAGGGACACCTTGCAGCCGGGCACCGTGCATGGGCACCCCTGTGCGCCCATCCAGGGCTGCTGGATCTGTCCCCCGCCGCGGTGCCGCCATCCCTCCCAGCTGTTTCAATGTCCCCAGGCCAGCGCCGCTCGCTGTCGAGGGCCGCTGCGTCCCCCCGCTCCCCGTCACCCGCCTGTGCAACATGACCCGCGATCGATGGATCGTTACGGGCTGAACAGGGGGAAAGTTGTTGTGCAAGCACGGCGGCGGCGGCGCTGCCCGCGTGCGTGCCAGGCCGGCGGCACCGGGCTCCGCTCCGGGCTCCGGGCGGGCCACGGGGGCCATTCCACAACCTGGGACAACCCAAGAGCCGGGGCTGGAGC